CCCCTTGACAAACAACTCTCAAAAAATGAAACGAGCCCGGATTCGGGGTCCTCTAGGAGAGCGTAGAAATGTTTTGTTTTTTTTTTTTTTTTTTTTTGCCGGTTGAGGTATCCCAGGCATCACGCCCGGGTGTCCGACCATACAGGCCCAGCCAGACATGAAAAACTTTATAGATTTTAAATTATTTCTTTCTTTTTCAATCGGGTAGATTTTTTTTTATTTTTATTTTTTTTAAAATGGCGATGACCTTGAGGTATTATCATCGGACTAACCAGCCCAAGTAAATTCAATATTGTGTCTAATCTGACATCGGGTGGCCTTTTCAACCCATAGTGGCCTTGATTGACTTCAGGGAACCTCCAACGGGGGACATTGGCCAGGGGACAGCAGGTGGCAGAGGGACCGAGCATCATATGAGTGGCCAGTCGCTATGTCTCCCCGATTACCCCTCCCCTTATGAACATCAACAGAGACTGCTTTTTAATGTCAATTGGGGAGACCAACGTGCTATCTCTAGGTGGCGGGCGCCAAGCATGCCCAGGAAGGTACATGAGGCCAATGGGGATTGAACCCAAGACCTCTTGAATGCCACTTGCGTGCGTACCTTACCAACTGAGCTAGGCCGCTGGATGGTAGATAATTTCAATATCTCCTCAAGGAAAAAGTTATTCAGTTTATTTTTCTGCATAGCATAGTTGTTGTTGTTGTTTTTTTACCTCCCAAGTTCTTGCACAGTCGGGCTGCATGGGGAAAACAGGGTGACTTGAACGGTTCGACTGGTAGCTTAACTTTTTATCAATAAAGTGATTTTAATCCTCATTCACATTACTGATTGTGTCGAAAACAGTGTTTTGTTAACACTATTTTTATCTAAATGCCACTGATTGTTTACTTAGATCATCATAGATAATTAGAGCGTGCATTCCATTGTCTCGGAAAAATTCTCCCATAGCACAACCTGCATAAGGAGCAAGAAATTGAAGAGGAGCAGAATCTGATGCAGTGGCTGCCACAATAAGAGAATATTCTAAAGCACCCGCTTCTGAAATAATTTTCACTAATTGTGCTACGGTCGAACGCTTCTGACCAATTGCTACATACACACAATACAACTTTTCTTTCTCAGAGGCACCATCCGATTGAGCTATTTTTTTTTTTTAAAGGATTACCATAAGATATAACTTAAGTTTTTAAGGTTGCACAATGAAAAGGACTATTATGCACCTCTTTGATAACACTTCGATTTAGTTACATTTCGGTGAAGAGGAAAAATATTTTGAAGGATTACCAAAAGATACAACTTCAATTTTTTAGGTTGCATAATGAAAAGATTTGTTTTCATCTCTTTGATAACACGTTCGTTTAGGACAACGACGTGATATGATAACGATGAATTTGAGAACTAGAAGATGAGGTGGTTACGAACGATTTTGTCGATAGTGGGATGTGATAATTATCTATTTGCTTCATGGTGATATTGTTGACTACTGTTGTCAACGTGTTGTTGTTGTTTTTATGTTGTAATATCATAACGAGTACAACAACTTGCGCTTAGTTCATATGTGTTCTCATGTGTGGTTCATGCGTATGCGTTCACTATAAGCGATGATGTTTAATTTCGTCAACAGTATTTTATCAATGTTTTTCATCCTACATCTGTAGAACGGCATTCCCACACAACCACCATTATCCCCAATGTTGAAAAATATATCATTGAGGACTCAATGTTGACATCAGGGTAGGCTAGTTAGGCTATGAGAGTTTGTTTTTCTACAAAATATTGAATGCGTCAAATTTTAATATTGTTTTGCTCAAATTAATTGATAATTTTTTTGATGAATATAAAAAATAATAAATAAAAATTTTATATTTATAAATAAATAATTTAAATTATGACTCATTTTAGTGCTTCGAGATTCAAGAAATCAGTTATTATGTTTTATCCTGCTCTCGATTTGATGCGCGAATTAATTTTACAATTAAAAAAAACATTCTTTAGTTTTTAATATCTTTAAAAAAAAAATAACTCTTAATTTACAGACTTCATTTATATTTTTCAAAAATTTTGGATCATTTGTTTTAGCATGAAACACTAAAATCTGAGTACTTTGTTGCCAAACTATTAAAAAAACAAATGGTAAAACAAAATACCCCTTTTACATTTCAAAAGTTTATGAATGTCTAATTAAATTAAATCTGTGTTGTATACCTCTATGAGGGTGCCAAGTTTCAGGTACTCTCCTACCACAATATGATGCAACATTACGTCATCCCTTGACAGAAATAGAGGAGAAAAAATTAAATCCGATAAGGTATTTAACAAACTTTCGAAATTTAGGAGGGGTGATTCGTTTTACTCAAATCCTTTAGGGATATTTTAACATATATGTGAACCCTCTGGGTTATTTCTTAAAGTTATCAAAAATGAAATAAAAGTCGAAAGGCAAAAAAAATGGGATATTGAACAAAAATTCGCCCTACGTTTTGTACATTTCTTCGACCCTTTCCGAAAGGCTTGGGAAATTGATGCAGTAGGTCGGGGAATGTTCTTGTCAAGGTGCTAACTGCTGCATTGTGTTTTGGGGTGAATATGAATAGGTACTACCTTTGGGCAAACGTCTCTCTGTTTTGGTTGAGTAGTGGACCTTCGTGTAGGCTTAAACACCCCTACCCACCTGTTGGTGTGTGGCGAGGTACTGCATGTAAGGCAAATATGTACCTAGTGTTTTTTTACAAAAAATATATATATTTTTCCCTCTAAAAGAGCGACGACTTTAAGATATCATAAAAGGATTGACCGACCCAAGGTAATTTCCAAATTTACTCAAACCACCAATATCCTTCCCTGCTTTAAAAAAAATCAGGGACGATTAACACGGAAGGTCGGGGACCTCCCTTCGCCAACGTCCGGTAGCTGTAGACAATTAAAAGAACAAAACAAAATAAGAATAAAAAAATAAATCGAAACTGAACATGCGGGAAAAAAAAACTCACGTGGGGGAGGGGAGAGAGAGAGAGAGAGAGAGAGAGAGAGAGAGAGAGAGAGAGAGAGAGAAAGAGAAAGAGAAAAAAAAAAAAATAATAAAAAAAATAATAATAAATAAAAACAATTGCTAGGCCACTGCGCAGCGAACGTGGTGTGGTCGCGGCGCAATGGCCTAGCAAACGTTGTTTCTCTCTCTCTCTCTGATGTGCAAAATGAGAATTAATCTTCATGCTTTTACGAGAACATTTACTCCCATGTTGCACATAAAAACGCGTTGAGAGAAAAAAAAACGACTCTCTCTCTCTCTCCCGGCATGTTTGTTATGTGTAAAATAAGAATAAATCTTCCCTTGAAAGCGGGTTTCAAGGGAAGATTCATTCCCACTTTGGAGAGAGAGAGAGAGAGAGAGAGAAAGAGAAAGAAAAAAAAAAAAAAAAAAAAAAAAAAAAAAAAAAAAAAAAAAAAAAAAAAAAAAAAAAAAAAAAAAAAAAAAATCTAGGCCACTGCGCAGTGAACGTGGTGTGGTCGCGGCGCAATGGCGTAGCAAACGTTGTTTCTCTCTCTCTCTCTGATGTGCAAAATGAGAATTAATCTTCATGCTTTTACGGGAACATTTATTCCCATGTTGCACATAAAAACGCGTTGAGAGAGAAAAAAACGACTCTCTCTCTCTCTCTCGGCGTGTTTCTCATGTGCAAAATAAGAATGAATCTTCCCTTGAAAGCGAGTTTCAAGAGGATATGAGAAAGTAGAGAGAGAGAGAGAGAGAGAGAGAGAGAGAGAGAGAGAGAGAGAGAGAGAGAGAGATCCAAATGTGTGAAATGAGAATGAATGTTCCTGAAAAAATCATTCACATTTTCACATTGGAATATGAGCTGGAACGCTCTCTCTCTCTCTCTCTGATGTACAAAACGGGAATTAATCTTCATGCTTTTACGAGAACATTCATTTCCATTTTGCACATAAAAACGCACCGAGAGAGAGAAAAATGACTCTCTCTCTCTTAGCGTGTTTCTCATGTGCAAAATGAGAATGAATCTTCCCTTCCCTTGAAAGCGGGTTTCAAGGGAAGATTCATTCCCATTTTGCACATGTGTGTGTGTGTGTGTGTGTGTGTGTGTGTGTGTGTGTGTGTGTGTGTGAGAGAGAGAGAGAGA